AAGTGTTTCACAGCTTGCCTCAGGTTTCCCTTATGTTTTCGATCGGGAATCGAAGTTTAACTCATGGAAAAAGGGGGCCTCGTTCGTTATTTAGGGTTCCTTAGGTCAACGCCCCGACTGTACGCAGGGGTGCGGTTTGCGATCGGCGCCGTGGGGGCTTAGGGGGCCTTCGCGTTGCGCCAAAGGTGTGCTGGGCCTTCGTCGGGGCGCGGCACAGATCTCGGTCGAGGCCCTCGCCCGCCTCCTGCTGGCGCGGCCTGCAGACCACGCCCCTTGCAGACCCCGCCCTTGGGGAGTCGCCGAAGCGGGAGGAGGAGGAGGAGGAGGAGGAGGAGGAGGAGGAGGAGGAGGAGGAGGAGGAGGCGGAGGATTGGAGGTGGAGGCGGAGGAGGAGGTGGGGAGGTGGAGGAGGAGGAGGAGGAGGACCAGGAGCAGGAGCAGGTGGGGAAAGGGGGGGGAGAAGGCAGAGGAGGAGGAGGCGGAGGAGGAGGAGGAGGAGGTGGAGGAGGAGGAGGAGGAGGAGGAGGAGGAGGAGAAGGAGGAGGAGGAGGAGGAGACGGAGCCCAGCGGCTCCGGAGTGGCGCGGAAAGCTGCGGCCACCCCGGGCCACGGGCATCCTCGGCAGCCCTCGGCACGCCTTCCGCGGCGCCCGGCGCCCGCTTTTGGGCGCGGGCCGCAGCCTCGGGCCCGGCAGGCGTCCGGCTCCTCGGCCCGTGTCGGTCTCGTGGCGGTCGGGGGGCCGCGCCGGGCGGCCCGATCGTCCTCGCTCGGCCTGCGGAGGCTCGTGTGGGCCGAAGTCGTCGAGGGGCACGCCTGGGCCCTCATCGGCCTCCTTCTCGAGGACGTTCGCCCCCTCCGCTCGGGCGGCGGGTGGCCCATCCTCCTTACCGTCGAGGGCCCTCGGCGCCTCTGCTCGGGGCGTCGGTTCCCCCCCAAGGTGCCCGCGTGGGCCAATCTCTCGCCATCAGCGTGCCGCTGGGCACGTCCAGCGTGCATCAGCAAGAGGAGGGGGGCGGGCCCGACATGGGGCCCTGCGGCGGCCGTCCTGATGCTCTGCGGTGCCGACGTGCTCGCCAGAGGGGGTAGCCGCGCCTTCAGTTCGACAGCTGAGGCCGTCATGTCGTCGGGCACTGCAGAGGGGGGGCTCTGGAGGAGGGGGGAGGTGGCGGGAACGAGGATGGGATTGGTGGCTGTAGCGAGAGTCTCCCAATCACGTAGATCAGCTAGGAGTTTGATGTTCCGGGCTCTTGCTGCAGGGCTAGATTCCAGGGTCCGCGCCCGTGTCAGATCGATCTGCGGGCAAGGGCGACCCTCCAACTCCCTCCTTCCCCTCTCCGTGTCCGCCTCCCCCCTCCCTTCGGTGTGGCAACATCGCGCCCAGACGCCTCCGAAGAGCGCCAGGAAGTTTCGTCCCTCGACCGGGGCAGCCCCTCTAGGTGGAGAGCGACAAGAAGTACATCAGCCAGGTCACCACCTCCCTCGAGGGCAAGAAGGCGGAGTGGCAGGCAGCGGGTCCCCCCTGGCGCCGCGCGCCCGTGGTGCGAGGTGCTGGTGGTTCATGGTGGTTGGGGTAGTGATAGTGGCGACCCTACACTCTAGGCGATGCTTAAGAATACCCAAGTTTTCGGCCAGAGTCTCGATTATTCTTAATGTTTCAATGTAAACCCCAAGATTTGAATAGACATTCTGGGCTTTGATTCAAATTCTGAGACTATGAATTTCTTAACCCATGATTTCTAAAGCATTTCGCAGGGTGTATCCCTCTTCGCCACGGGGGTATTGCCTAGTGTTGCCTCCTCGTTGCAAGTAGCTCGCATCGCCTCTCCGGGCTCCTGGCTGGAAGGGGCCGGCCCACTGCCGGCGGCCGAATGCCACAGGCACAGCAGCCACAGACGACGGAGAGACGGAGACCCGGACCCCGAACAAAACAAGAACGCTCGCTAGCAGAAGACGCCAACGAAAAACCAGCAACATGGACGCCATGCAAGCTGGCACGCTGCAGATTCACGATGCCGCTCGAAGGGAAGGGTGAGGCGCGGGGTGACGCTGAGAAAGCGGGGGGGGTGCTTTAGCGGGGACGGAAAGGGGAGTCTTGGACCACCTCGAGTTGGCGCAAACATAAATCAAACCGCATTCATTAGCCACTAGCGACGGGCCCCGCCACTGGCGACGGGCCGTCGCCAAATCAGGCGGCACTGGCTTCATATTTCAGCAGTACCTTCCCACATCCATGGATCTGGCGCCAACGCTCAAATCGGGCATGTCCCTCCACAGGAGGAGTAGTCAAGAATAGTTAAACATAGTCTGGCGACGATTTACCGTGTTTTTGGAGTATGTTTTGCTTATTGTTAGATCATGTGTTTAGTATTCTTCCAAATTCCGCCTGTAGGAGGACATGCTCGATCTCAGCCAATGCGCCAAATTTATGCATCTTTAATCCGTGCTAGTGGGGCGCCAGACCCCCCACCACCGTGAGCTCCGATGCTGCCGCCGTGGTGCCGTCGAGATCTGAGGCCAAGCATTGGCGCGTGGTGATTGCGACACGGGCAGGGGCTCAGATCGAAGAAGAACAAAGGCCATAAACACAAGCTTTTGGCGCTCTGCGTGGAGCGCCAACAGTTTATGTTTCTGCCATTTTCTTCTTCTATCAGAGGCCGAGCAGTATCAACAATGGGAATGGTTTGCTGCAGCAGTGCGGCTAGCGGCTAGTGGTTCAAAGGGCATGGTATGTGGTCTTTGTTTTTAGAACGTGTGTCCTGCTTGGTGAGGCTTGGCAAGCGATTAAGGACCCTCCCCAACTGGCGGTCGCAGCGCATATGAACCGCGGTGTGATTACTCCCAGCTCCCCAACGCATACCCAGGCTTCCGAAGGATTTTCGAGTGTTTTCGACATTATGTTTGAAGGAAGCCTTATGGTTTCAATCAGGAAGCCAACTGATTTCGCAAGGACTCGAAAGGATACTCAGCGGAATCCAAGAGTTTCCCAAGGATGTCGGAAAGTTTCCGGAGGACTCCCTAGTCGGTGTTATGGCTTCCTAAGGGCTCCGAATGATTGCATGATTATGTTCCGTGGATCCCCGAAGGAAGCCAGAGAGAGTCTTGAGGAGTGCTCGAGATAGCCTACAGATGTTCTTCCAGAGTTCAGGGCAATCAGTGTGGAAATCTCAGGGTCCTGTGGTACACCCTGAGGATCCCTGAGGATTGCTCAAGATATGTTCAGTGGGTGTAGTTTCTGTCTTTTCTTCGGGGCACCACCCATGATTCATGTGTTACCGTATCGGTGTTATATATATATATATACATATGTATATATAGATTGCGCCCGGGGTTTGGCTTGGCGAATTTCTATTTCGCTGTTTAGGAGTATTGCACGACGGACGGACACGTCATTGGAACCTTATAGACGTGAAATCTAGCATCTTCGCTGAGGTAGCGCCATGATGAGGTGGTTTTAAATTTCGGTGGTTCACGATACCACCCGCCAGAAGCACTGACGCCCGATTTATATTTGGATTCTGGTTCAAACCCAACATCTCCCCACTATTCAACTATAGGTTTTGTTACAGTTCTTTTGAGTTAGATTTGAACGAGCTCATTCAAATCTGGTCGGTCGCAACTTGATGCTAGTCCTTGCATGTTGCATATCATTTGTTGTGGACATGTTTTTTGTTTGCAAATGTTATTGAACCTGTCAAAGGAACCCAAGGAACCCATCAGATGTCAACCAACATAGCAACAACTGCAGTTCTTATTCAAGCGCTAGCGAGACAAGGGCTACTTCAGCGAAGACGATCCCATTACCATCGTACACATGCGCGTGTTCTGCAACCACCCCTGGCGGCTCCCCTTAGGGGTGCTGAAACCAGCGCCCCGCCTGAGACATCCTCAAAATCTGCTCTGAAAGCCAAGGGTGTTGGGCATGAAAACTAGCAAACCGCCTGAGACATCCCCACAAACTGGCCGCGAACGGGCCCGTGCAACCACCCTTGGCGGCTTCCCTGAGGGGTGCTGAAACCAGCGCCCCGCCTGAGACCCGCCTGAATATGAGTAAGCCTGTGTATGAGTAAGTTTGTGTATGTGTACGTCTGGGTATGAGTAAGTCTGAGTATGAGTAGGCTTCAGTATGAGCAAGTCTGTGTGTGAGTAAGTCTGGACATGAGTAAGTCTCGTATGAGGAGACGAGAAGAGGAGGGGACCAGAAAAGGGAGGAGGGGGAGGAGTATGAGGCGTCCAAGTAATAACAAGAACCCCATCTCAGGATATGCGAATACTCCACTAACCGTATACATGTGTATACACTTAGTGTGTGTGTGTATACATATATATATATATATATGTATATCGCGTGAGCGTATGTGATTGTACTCCTAGGGACGCGTTTTTTTTGAATCTCGTCTGGAGCGCCGGGTTCTCGTCTTCCCAAGGCTCGGAGCGATCATTTGTTTCAGAGCGCGCGTCGGTGGTTTTCCTGACGGATTTGCGGGTGTTTTTCAAGTGATGTTCGAGGGATGAAGTTCCGAACGTTGATGCAGGAGCTGCTTCGGGTAGTGATGCTGCGAGCGCGCTGCCGCCTCCCTTTGGGGGGGATGGAACTTCGGGCAGAGCGTTCAGGAGCTAAACATCATGTCTCGGAGGTCCGCGCAGATTTCTTCCCCTGGCGGTGCCTCTGTCGCCGCCCCTGGCGCGCTCCGCGCTCATGGGGGGGGTCCAGCGTCGCGCGGATCTCCGCGAACTCATGTTATTGCCGTTACGCGTTCCTCTAGAACGGAAGGGAGAAACAAGGGGACAACGACCAAGAATGCTCACGGAAACGTCGTGCGGCGGCCAACATGGACCCGTGACCAAGCTCGGCATGGACAAAAGTCCCGCCACATCTTGGTCATGGTCTCCGTTTTTTCCTCCCTCCACAAAGGACGGCGGAGGGGACAACGAGCAGATGCAGCGCCCGGCGCCCGCGACATTTTCCGGCCACAGCCTCCGGCGGCGGCGGCCGGCCGTTGGCCGCCATCGCGCGCCCGCGCGCGCGGCGCGCGCGCGCGGCGCGCGCGCGGCAAGGCCCGCCCGCGGGGGGGCTTTGTGCTACAGCGCTCGGGGGCCCCTGGTTGTTTACCCAGACGTGCTTTCGGGGGCGGAAAAGAGGGGGGTGATGACTAAGGGGGGGTGGATATCATGGCGGGGGCCATGATTTTTCCCCAGATTTCATGGCGCCTCTTCTTATTTCATTACGTCCCTGGCCCCCCCGCTGGGCCGCGCACATGCCGCCGGTCATGATTTGCACCCCCCCCTCTTGGTCCCCCCCCTCTTGGCCGCTCCCGATGCTTGCGTCGTGAAAGAAAACCGCGACGCATTCGACAGCAACTCGTTGGGACCTGGTGTGCCCTCTCGATTCCGTCCCTAGCGTCGATTGGCGTTAAGTAGCGTCTGGGAGTCGATGATGTAAGCAGCGATTTTGCGTTGGCTAGCGTGGATTAGCGTCGATCCAGCGTCGACTAGGGTTGAGTTAGCGTCGATTAGGGCCGATTCGCAAGGGCCGACATGAAGGCATGGGATGCTCCCCTGAGCTGCCACCCGGGACGTGCTCTCGTCGTGGCTATTTTTTGTTTTTTTCGGCCTCCGTCAAAAAACAGCTCGGGATGAGGAACTGGCCTTGGGGAAAGGGTTGGGGCTTTGGAGCCCCCGTGTTGCAGAAGCCAAGACATCACATGTTTGCGGACGGTTTACGTCTGTCGCTTGTCCTGGCCAGGCCCATCCTTGGGCGCGCTCCTACCTTGGCCTTAGGGGGGGGGGGGGCAGGGGGGGGGGCAGGGAGATGGATTAAGGAGAAGGGCGGAGGGAGGGGGGGGGGAGGCAGAAGGGAGGGCGTCCCTTCTCCGTCGCGCCCCGCCCAAGTCCACCTTGCCTTTCTGCCACTCGCCCTGCCGTCCCTCCCCTTCCCTTTCTCCCCCGCTCCCCCCCCCGTGTCGCCTTTTAATTACTTCGCCCCCCTCCCCCTGTCACCACTGCTCGCCTCTTCGCGCACCTCCCCCCCGTTCCGAGCTTCTGCGCAAGGCAAGGCTTCTTCTCGTGCTGGCCGGCTTGTGGCAGGCTTGGCCCTCGCGCCATTCCAGGCTTGTCTGGTGCATCTTGCCGGCACCATGCGCAGCCAAAGTTCGCGATCGCTGCGACGGGTGAGAACACAATGCCTTTTGGGGAAACCGAAGGGTACTCGTGCCCCTACTCCACGGACCTCTCCCCAAGGGTGCGTTCTGATTCGGGTTTCGAGGCGACTTTTGGCGGTGGCGACGAGGGCCTCCCTTCCAAGAGGCCCAGGAGGGCGAAGACGAGGGTATCGGTCCCTTCTCCACCTCTGTGCTGCCCGTCTCTGCTCACCGCCCGGAGCAGCTCGGCCTGAGACGAGGCGAGCCGCGGCCTCGCCAGCGTGGCGCCTCGGGCGCGGTGTCTCGCTGGTGGGGTGAGTGTCCGCCAACAACGCGCAGTGGCTCCCAGGGCACGTGGCGCGTCGACCTGCGTCCGGGGGGTCCTGGAGGACCCGAGGAGCGGGGACGCGCGTGGGGCCAGGCCTCCTCCTCCTCCTCCTCCTCCTTCTCCTCCTCCTCCTCCTCCTCCTCCCCCCTCCCCTCCTCCTTCCTTCTCCTCCCTCCTCCTCCTTCTCCTCCTCCTCCTCCTCCTCCTCCTCCTCCTCCTCCTCCTCCATCCTCCTCCTCCTCATCCTCCCCATCTCCTCCTCCTCCTCCTCCTCCTCCTCCTCCTCCTCCTCCACCATCCTCCTCCTCCACATCACCCCTCTCCTCCTCCTCATCCTCACCTCCTCCCCCTACATGCCTCCCCCTCCTTCTCCTCCTCCTTTCCTCATTCCTCTTCCTCCTCCTCCTCCTCCCTCCTTCCTCTCCAAGCCATGGCCCGCGTTCGCGTGTGCTTCAGGGTGCCCGTGCTCGGCCCCCCGAGGGGGTGGGGGGGGGGGGCGGCCCCCGCCCGGGCCCCGGGGCCGTCGAGGAGCGGCTCGGGGTGGGAAGCCCGCCTCGGGAGGCCGCGCGTGGCAAGCAGCCTGGGCGCGAGGTCGAGAGTCAGAGCGTGAATTACCTACCCCGCTTTCGCTTCCACGAAAAACCAAGTCATACCACGCGCCTCCTCGTCAAGCGGCCTGACCAGTACAGGCCGTAGTTTGGCATCGCTTGGTATCTCTTGGAAGCGAGGGTGGTCAAAAGCGAGGTAGGTTTGTTTTCCCCCTAGAGAGGTCGGCCTCTGGTGCACGGCTGCGGGTGGCCTGGCATCGCTCGGACGTGTGCATTTTTTTTGTTTTCCTCGGCGAGGGCCTTCGAGGAGCGTCCTCGACCGTCTGGCGAGAAAGCCACGCACGAAACCGGAAAAAAGCACAGGGAATGGACGTCCGAGCGATGGCCAGGTGGGGGTGGCGGGGGCGAAGGGTGGGAGGGGGGGCAGCTCCAGGGAGAACCGTCGTCGTCGTCGTCGTCGTCGTCGTCGTCGTCGTCATCGTCGTCGTCGTCGTCGTCGTCGTCGTCGTCGTCGTCGTCGTCATGGGGGGGGGGGCGATACAATGGGGGCGTTGGCTGAGGTTACGTCGGGCCTGTCCCTCTACAAGGGGAGTATGCAAAAATAGTCAAGAAATCGTCAGGGGACTTTTTTTTTTTTTTTTTTTTCTTTTTTTTTTGTTTTCTTCTTTTTTTTTTTTCCCCCTAACAGTTTTAGCTGATAGGTTTCTAGTTGTTTCAAAAGAGAGCATCTTGCCGCCCCAGGGGGGTCTGGGCGGGATCCGGACACGGGATCCGGACACGGGATCAGGCGGAATCCGGACAGATCCGGACAAAAGTGTAGCCCCAGGAATCCTTAGGAATCCTTAGGGATTCTCAAGAATCCTTAGGAATCCATTCCCAGAACACCATTCCCAGGCCACATTTTGAATGCCCAGAACCAACTGTGCGCAACTTTGTGTTCTTCGTGCTCCCAGAACACCATTCCCAGGCCACATTTTGAATGCCCGGAGCCAACTGTAGGCCACTTCGTGTTCTTCGTGTTCCCAGAACACGATTCCCAGGCCACATTTTGAGTGCCCGGAGCCAACTGTAGGCCATTTCGTGTTCTTCGTGTTCCCAGAACACGATTCCCAGGCCACATTTTGAATGCCCGGAGCCAACTGTAGGCCATTTCGTGTTCTTCGTGTTCCCAGAACACCGTTCCCAGGCCACATTTTGAATGTTCCCAGAACACAATTCCTGTACCATATTTTGATTGCCCGGAGCCAGCTGTGGGTCACTTCGTGATCTACGTGTTCCCAGAACACTAGTTCTGTGCCATATTTTGACTGCCCGAGCTGAGGCAGGCTGAGGCCGAGGCAGGCTGAGGCTCAGGCTGAGGCACGCCGAGGCAGGCTGAGGCTGAGGCTGAGGGAGGCTGAGGCTGAGGCAGGCTGAGGCTGAGGCTGACGCAGGCTGAGGCCGAGGCAGGCTGAAGTTGAGGCTGAGGCAGGCTGAGGCTGAGGCAGGCTGAGACTGAGGCTGAGGCAGGCTGAGGCTGAGGCTGAGGCTGATGCAGGCTGAGGCTGAGAGGCTGACGCTGAGGCTGGCTGAGGCTGACGCTGAGGCTGAGGCAGGCTGAGGCTGAGGCTGAGGCAAGCCGAGGCAGGCTGAGGCTGAGGCAAAAGCTGAGGCAGGCTGAGGCTGAGGCTGAGGCAGTGGCTGAGGCTGAGGCTGAGGCTGTGGCTGTGGCTGAGGCTGAGGCAAGCTGCGGCTGCGGCAGGCTGAGGCTGAGGCTGAGGCAGGCTGAGACTGAGGCTGAGGAGGGCTGAGGCTGAGGCTGAGGCCGAGGCAGGCTGAGGCTGAGGCCGAGGCAAGCCGAGGCAGGCTGAGGCTGAGGCTGAGGCTGATGCTGAGGCAGGCTGAGGCTGAGACAGGCTGAGGCTGAGGCTGAGGCAGGCTGAGGCTGAGGCAGGCTGAGGCTGAGGCCGAGGCAGGCTCAGTAGGCTGAGGCAGGCTGAGGCTGAGGCAGGATGAGACTGAGGCTGAGGCAATCTGAGGCTGAGGCTGAGGCTGATGCAGGCTGAGGCTGAGAGGCTGACGCTGAGGCTGAGGCAGGCTGAGGCTGAGGCTGAGGCCGAGGCAGGCTGACGCTGAGGCCGAGGCAAGCCGAGGCAGGCTGAGGCTGAGGCTGAAGCTGAGGCAGAGCTGTGCTGAGGCTGAGCTGTGCTGAGGCTGAGGCAAGCTGCGGCTGACGGGCAGGCTGAGCCTGAGGCTGAGGCAGGCTCAGGCTGAGGCTGATGCAGGCTGAGGCTGAGGCAGGCTGAGGCTGAGGCTGAGGCTGATGCAGGCTGAGGCTGAGGCAGGATGAGGCTGAGGCCGAGGCTGAAGGCAGACTGAGGCTGAGGCTGAAGCAGGCTGAGGTTGAGGCTGAGGCAGGCTGAGGCTGAGGCAGGCTGAGGCTGAGGCTGAGGCTGTGGCTGAGGCTGAGGCTGAGGCTTGCTGCGGCTGAGGCAGGCTGAGGCTGAGGCTGATGCAGGCTGAGGCTGAGGCAGGCTGAGGCTGAGGTTGAGGCTGATGCAGGCTGAGGATGAGGGCAGGCTGAGAAGGCTGAGGCAGGCTGAGGCTGAGGCCGAGGCAGGCTGAGGCTGAGGCCGAGGCTGAAGCTGAGGCAGGCTGAGGCTGAGGCTGAGGCTGATGCTGAGGCAGGCTGAGGCTGAGACAGGCTGAGGCTGAGGCTGAGGCAGGCTGAGGCTGAGGCAGGCTGAGGCTGAGGCCGAGGCAGACGAGTCTTTCGGAATCCTTAGGATTCCATAGGAATCCTTAGGAATCCCTAGGAATCCCCTGGAATCAAGGATTCCAAAGGATTCCTAGGGTTTCCGAAGGATTCCTATGGATTCCTAAGGATGCCTAAGGATGCTTTAGGAATCCATAGGAATCCTTAGAATTCCATTGGATCCTAAGGCCGTTGCCACTGCGACTGTCATTGCGAATGCGACCGTGACGGCGAGAACAGCAGAATTCTACAACTGGATTCTCACCTGAATCTTAAGGGGAATGCTTCCAGATATGCTTATACACATCGCTGTTAGGTTGCTTTGCCAGGATATTTTCACCATTTCGGAATATTTTTTGAGCATGTTTTACTTGTCGCTCAAAATCCTCCTGTAGGGTGACAGGCCCGACTTAACGATTCAATAGGGGGCGTTGGCTAAGGAATGCGCCCAGGATGCTGCAGAACTCGGAGGATTCCTCTTCCGATGAGGGCAGAGGTGATAGCCACGGACAGGCCTCGATAGGAGTTCCATCGGCCTCCAGACTCTGGCTCCCTCATTCAAAGGTTCCTTCTCCAATGCCCCCACCGCAGTTGGGGGAAGGAGGGTGCCCTCTTCGGGCTCCAGAGGCCCCCTGCTGGGGCCCCAAAGGACCCCTTGAGGGGCCCCAGCGCTCTTCCTCCTCCTCCTCCTCCTCCTCCTCCTCCTCCTCCTCCTCCTCCTCCTCCTCCTGATTGCGATACCCCCATTCCTTGCGCTGCTCGCTTATTTCGCGTCCCGTCATCGGGACATCGCGCGGTTGGGGCCTGCCCCCGGCCGGATGGGGCCAGGACCAGGACGGACTCGCAGCCCTGATCTCTCCCCCCCCCGCGGCGCACTCGCAAACTGCCTACTCGCGAACGTCCGAAGCAAACACAGTCTCCCTAGATGTAGTGGATCGTGAATCCCCCGCAGCGGATCCAGGCCATTTGGGAGTAGTTACTTTGCGAGTAGTGGGAGGCGCTTGTCTGCTGATGCCGCTGCTCGTCCCGGAGGTCCCTTGTCGCCACGGCTGGCTGCTCCTCGAGACCCTGGTCAGAGCGCGCCCCGGCAGAGGTTCGTGCCGGTACCTCCCGCAGACGGGCCAACGGCGATGTAGGTAGTTCAGGAGGGAAAGAAACACACAGACACAATTAATCGTCGACTCCCCAGAAAATATAAGAAATTATGGGAAGTGGGGGGGAAGACAAGAACCCAGAAAATATGAGAAAATATGGGGAATTATTTTATTTGTGTGTATTTATTTGTGTGTCGTTGGGCCCCTTCAGCAGTGGCGAGGAAGGTGACGGCGAGGCACAGAAAACGGAATGACCTTGCGGAGCTCCGCGCGGCTTTCTTGGATCGACGCGGGCCCCCCCTGGCGGCGCCTCTGGCGCCGCGCCGGGGAGGCGCGCCGTCGGGGGTGGGGGGGGGGGTAGGGCCCCCCCCCCAGCCCCAGCTCCTTTCCTCCTACCTCCAGGCCTCTTCCTCCCTCTCCCTCCTGCCCTCCCTCCTCCCTCCTCCTCCTTTCCGTTGCTCTGCCTTCTCCTCCTCTCCTTCTCTTCTCATCCTCCTCCTCCTCCTCCTCTCCTCCTCCTCCTCCTCTCCCCCCCTCCTCCTCCTCCTCTACTCCTCCTTCCTCCTCCTCCTCCTCCTCCTCCTCCTCCTCCTCCTCCTCCTCCTCCTCCTCCTCCTCCTCCTCCTCCTCCTCCTCCTCCTCTCCTCCACTGGCAAGGACCGCCTCAGTGCGCCACCACCTCGGAGCAAAGTCGGAGGCCTGGGCGCGCCAAAAAGGGGTGCTGCTGCACCAGCGTGGCCGGGCCGCGGCCGGCGCAGAGAGCGGGTGCCGCCCCGGCAGGCCCGAGCCTACTCCAGGCTTTCCAAGGGGGCCCCTGACTGGCTCTGGAGGATGTCGAGCACGAGGCAGCTGCATATGAGCGTAACCGTCGGAGCTCCGCGCGGAGTTCTCGGATCTGCGCGTGGCCCTCCCTGGCGCGTGACGCGTGCCAGGGGCGGCGCCAGGAGCACCGCCCTGCGGGGGGGGGGGGCTGGCGCCGGTCCAAGAAATCCGCGTGGAGCTACGACAGTCCGTGTTCGTGCCGCGCCAGATGGTACGATGGGGGGGCGTGGAAAGGATGGGAGACACGATGAGGAGAGAGCTCTCCTCCTCCTCCTCCTCCTCCTCCTCCTCCTCCTCCTCCTCCTCCTGCTGGGGGTCCCAGCAGGGGCCCCTGCGCGTCGCGATGGATGTGCCTGGCTTCTCCAAGGTCCAGGTGGACGCGCTGCTGGAGGACGAGGAGGACGCACGCCCGTCCTCTCCGCCTGCCTGCTGGTCTGCGTGTCTGTCTTTCGGCCGCTCGGCCTGTCGGTCCGTCCGTGCTCTGTCTGCACGCGTCCCCAGACCTTCTCGCGTCGCGGCAGTCACGACGGGAGGTTTCTGGGCCGTTCTTCGGTCTCCAGGGGCCCTCGCCGGGCCCCGGAAAAACACAAACAAGCGATTCGGCGTGAAAAACCGGCCCTGGGGACATCCGGGGAGATTGTCTTGAAACGAATCAGCACATGTGATCGTTTCCTTATTCATTGTTTTGCCGATCGGCGCGGGCCCTCGCACCCACTCTCCCCCCCCACACCCCATTCAGTAGGTCTTGGCTGTTTTCGGCGCCTGTTTCAAGCAGGTGGAGTCTCTCCCATAGGACACACTGCTGCAAACAGTCGCATTAAGCAGAGGTCCAGAGCCAGACCTCCCCCCTCCCTCCCCCCTTCCGCCCAATGTCGAAACGCCGAATAAGAAAACGTTCACCATCGCATTTCTCCATCTCTCTCCTCCCGCGGCCCGTCTCGTCCTGCTCTGTCCCGGCCTTCCTGCCTTGTGAGGTCCGAGCTGGCCTCCTCCACTTTGGTCCCGTCCAGTCCCGTCCTGTGCAGTCTCTGTCTGTCTGTCGCAGAGCCGCACGCACCCCTTCCCCTCCCCTCCCTGTCCGCTCAGTTCTGACCCGGCAGTCCTTCGCCGCTCCCCACCACGGCCTGCAGCTGCACTCTTGGCGCCAATTCTGCACCTTCCCCGCTGCCCTTTTGCCCGCCAGGCCCAGACCCCGTGGACGCCGTTGCCCCTCCCTGCCCTCTCTTCTCTGCGGTCGCGTTGGATCTGCATGTGGATGCCACTTGCGATGCTCAGGGCAGGCAATTGCACGTGCGAGGTCCCTTGCCGATCTTCTCGTTCTCTCTCTCTCTCTCCCTCATCCTCCTCGTCCTCTCCCTCTCCCTTCGCTCTCGACTAGCCTGGAGGGATGTAGCCCCTTTTCCCTTGCCTGCATCGACTTCTTCGGGAATCTGCGAAGGGCGAGCGAGCGAGTGAGGCAGACACTTCCCGCGCCCTCCTCCAGTTTGCGTGCTCCCGCGACCTCGTCGCAGCACCTGCAGCCAGAGAGGGCACTTCGCAAACCGGAAGGCGGCGCTCCACACCTGTCCAGTGCTCGATTCCAGTCTGGTGCTATTCTGTTTGACGCCAGGATGAGCGCCAGCGCGCAGTGGGAGCATCGCGGGCGCTTTACGCCAAGGCACTTCCGCCGGGGAGGGGTAGGCAGGACGAATGAGGAGGAGGAGGAGGAGGAGGAGGAGGAGGAGAAGGAGGAGGAGGAGGAGGGAGGAGGAGGAGGAGGAAGAGGAGGAGGAGGAGGAGGAGGAGTAGGAGGAGGAGGAGGCGGAGCGGAGGAGGAGGAGGAGGAGAGGAGGAGGAGGAGGAAGAGGGAAGAGGGGGGAAGGAGGAGAGAGGAGGAGGAGGAGGAGGAGGAGGGAGGAGGAGGAGGAGGAGGAGGAGGAGGAGGTAGGAGGAGGAGGAGGGAGGAGAGAGAGGAGGAGGAGGAGGAGGAGGGGGGGAAGCAGGAGGAGCAGGAGGACAGGCGGAGATGAGGACAGGGAGGAGGGTAAAGGAGGAACGGAATGGGGGGTGGGAGGAGGAGGAGGAGGAGGAGGAGGATGAGAGAGGGGCAGGAGGAGGAGGCCGAGGATTGGAGGAAAGGAGGGGGAGGAGGGGAAGGAGGAGGTGCAGGAGGAGGAGGAGGAGGTGGAGGTGGAGGACTTTCAGGATTTCCTTCATAAGGTAGTGACACTAATGGCTTGCAAGCTCAGCACTTTGGTAAGCAGGCGGCGAGAGATACGATCAACGTAGTCGCGCCTGGCCTTGGTTGGGAGATGTGGGCTGCACGGATTCCCTAAGCCCCCGAGCTGGGCCTGGCCGAAGACTCCGCAAGTGTCGCACATCCACGACATCGAGGTCTTTGTGGACAACGTAGGGCTCGGGCCTGGGTGGGCTGCGCCAGGCGAGCGGCGCAGGAGCAGAACAGGCAACCATTTGGGGGAAGGCAGGAGAAGCCTGACACGTGCAGAACCTGCAGGGATGCCGAGACAGGGCAGTAGCGCAAAGAGAACACAGCAAAGCACAGCAGTCAGGAGGGAAAGAAACACACAGACACAAGTAATCGTCGACTTCCAGGAGAACATGTGAAAGTATGGGCACTGGGGGGGGGGGAAGGCAGACACTCCAAACTATGTGAAACATATGGGGCATATTTTTGTTTGTGCGTACTTATTTGTGTGTCCTGGGGCCCCTTCAAGCAGCAGCGAGGGGGCCAGCGAGGGCCGAGCGCGGGAGCGGCCGGGCCGAGGGGCCGCGCAGGCCGCGGCCCAGGGCAGGGCGGCCGCGGCACCCTGCACAGGTCGAGGGGCCTTCCGCAGCAGGCGGCGGCGAGAGGCCTTCCCTTCGGGGGGGGGGGCGGCTCGGGATGACTTTCCGTGCGTACAGTGCCGTTTTTAATGCATGTTCCGCGTGCGGATCATGTATCAAAAATACAGGGACGTAGTATCAAAAGCAACGATGAGTTCGTGCATGAATTTATGCACACATTAACCATGTAACATCCGCCGCTCTGCGGTTGATCGGGAGTTTCTGTATATATAGAAGAAGGGGCGCGCGCTTCTGGGCGAGAGGGAAACGACCGAGAGAAGAAGGGGCGGCCGCCCCACAGGACCTCTCCATGGTGCCGGAAGCCCATCAGGGCTCCCTCAGGGCCCCTCCCCCAGGGCCGGGGCTCCCTCGCCTGCCCCCTCCCCCTCCCCCTCCTCCTCCTCCTCCTCCTCCTCCTCCTCCTCCTCCTCCTCCTCCTCCTCCTCCTCCTTCGCCCCCGTCGGCATATCCAGGCGTGTTATGCAGTCAGGTCGTCCGTCCGGAAACGGTGCCGGAGGCCGCTCTGGGCTCCTCTGGGCATCCCCCCCGGGGCCCGTTTTGTGAGGATGTCTCAGGCGAGGGCGCCGGTTTGGGATTCGTCACCGGATCCAGCGGATCCAGCGGATCCGTCCGGAAACGGTGCCGGAGGCCGCTCTGGGCTACTCTGGGCATCCCCCCGGGGCCCGTTTTGTGAGGATGTCTCAGGCGAGGGCGCCGGTTTGGGATTCGTCACCGGATCCAGCGGATCCAGCGGATCCGTCCGGAAACGGTGCCGGAGGCCGCTCTGGGCTCCTCTGGGCATCCCCCCCGGGGCCCGTTTTGTGAGGATGTCTCAGGCGAGGGCGCCGGTTTGGGATTCGTCACCGGATCCAGCGGATCCAGCGGATCCGTCCGGAAACGGTGCCGGAGGCCGCTCTGGGCTCCTCTGGGCATCCCCCCCGGGGCCCGTTTTGTGAGGATGTCTCAGGCGAGGGCGCCGGTTTGGGATTCGTCACCGGATCCAGCGGATCCAGCGGATCCGTCCGGAAACGGTGCCGGAGGCCGCTCTGGGCTCCTCTGGGCATCCCCCCCGGGGCCCGTTTTGTGAGGATGTCTCAGGCGAGGGCGCCGGTTTGGGATTCGTCACCGGATCCAGCGGATCCAGCGGATCCGTCCGGAAACGGTGCCGGAGGCCGCTCTGGGCTCCTCTGGGCATCCCCCCCGGGGCCCGTTTTGTGAGGATGTCTCAGGCGAGGGCGCCGGTTTGGGATTCGTCACCGGATCCAGCGGATCCAGCGGATCCGTCCGGAAACGGTGCCGGAGGCCGCTCTGGGCTCCTCTGGGCATCCCCCCCGGGGCCCGTTTTGTGAGGATGTCTCAGGCGAGGGCGCCGGTTTGGGATTCGTCACCGGATCCAGCGGATCCAGCGGATCCAGCGGATCCGTCCGGAAACGGTGCCGGAGGCCGCTCTGGGCTCCTCTGGGCATCCCCCCCGGGGCCCGTTTTGTGAGGATGTCTCAGGCGAGGGCGCCGGTTTGGGATTCGTCACCGGATCCAGCGGATCCAGCGGATCCGTCCGGAAACGGTGCCGGAGGCCGCTCTGGGCTCCTCTGGGCATCCCCCCCGGGGCCCGTTTTGTGAGGATGTCTCAGGCGAGGGCGCCGGTTTGGGATTCGTCACCGGATCCAGCGGATCCAGCGGATCCGTCCGGAAACGGTGCCGGAGGCCGCTCTGGGCTCCTCTGGGCATCCCCCCCGGGGCCCGTTTTGTGAGGATGTCTCAGGCGAGGGCGCCGGTTTGGGATTCGTCACCGGATCCAGCGGATCCAGCGGATCCAGCGGATCCGTCCGGAAACGGTGCCGGAGGCCGCTCTGGGCTCGTGCTCTTCGCGCCGGGGGTGAGGATGACGTGAGTTCCACAGAAACTCCCTCAAATTACACATCCTGTTCTGTTTAAGCAACATCCTGTGTATTAAAACTTGCCCTGTATGCAGCAGGGGAAAGCACTCACGCTTTAACCATTCGGGCTCCTCATCCTTCGAGGCTGACTTCCGGCACACGAAGCACGATCTGCTGTTTTCGGCCAGGGCGTGGGCGGACGCGAAGCAAGGCACAGGTGGACTCCGGGGCAACTCAGAGGAGCCCCCTCCTGACAAGGCGGGCCTTCCGCTCCATCGCGTGAATTCTGAAACGCTCAGGCTCCGAGACCCGTGCTCGCGCGGCGGCCTCACCAGCTAGCACATCTGCGCACGCGCCGCCCTGGATCAGCCAAGAGGGCCAGCCATGAGCAACCATTTCCTTCCCCTCGAGATGGGAGGGGATCTGAATCACACCTATCTGGGACTCGGAGCGGGGCTGCGAGGGCGGAAGACCGCCTGTTGAGCGCCAGACGTCGGCTTGCGGCCCAGCTGGGGCGGCACATGCGCGGTCATACCACCCTCGAGCGACTTCGGCACAGTCGGTAATGTACACGAGCCACCCTGTCGTGGAACGAATGGCCCATTCGAGCCCGAATAATTCGCCCCAGGGGACAGTCTGAGAGGGCCCAAGGAGGGGCCAAACAGGTGGGGGCCCAACACAGAAGGAAAGAGCGACTGAAAAGCGGCGACAGCCAATCCTACCCCCCTAGGCCTTTCCCGCCCGAGGCGTCCCCGAAAGCGAAAACAGGATCGTCTGGCGACCCGCTCCAGAGACAGCCAGAACCAATAATATCGCCTACGAGGGAGGCCCCAAGAACAATCTCAGAGGTCATGGGCGGCTCAACTACAGTCCCTTCGACAGGAATCACTCCACGCATCCAGAAGGCCGGGAAGGCACGATTGCCTCAGAAGCGAGACCGTCAGGCATGGCAAACATTGCACGTCCAACAGAGATGCGCTGGGGTGTCCACGCACTCTGCGCAGCGCAGGCGCAACTCGCTCAATGCAAGTGTAGCCTCGTACTTCCCCTGCTGCGCCAAAAAGCCTCCGCAGGCGAGGGCCGCCATCAGCTCGGACAACTGGCGCTCTCGGCTGGCTAGGAGGAGAGAGGACATGTAGTGGCGATGCAGCTGGAGGGGCGCTCCCATCGGGGCACGTGGTGCCCGGGGGGGGGGGGGGCACGCTGCTTCTTGTTGTACCGTGTCGCCCATCGGCGCCGTCCGCCTGCGCCATTGCCCTGCCTGTGGCTTCGCCCCCTTCCACCGCCGCCCCGGGGCCGCTGCCGCGGCGGCCGGTTGCCAAAGGCCCGCGGGGGACATTCTGTAGATCCGTTCCGGACTCGAGGCCCGTCAGCCAACCCGCACGGCAAGGATGGGCAACCCTCCCAAGGGCACCCTTGCATCCCTGCCCCCTCGGTCCATCCCCGGCCACTCCTGCTGCCCGCGCCCCGCTCGGAAAGCTTCACAGATGGGCATCCAAGGCCCGTGCATCCTTACCAGATTTCGTAATAAAGGGAGGGGGGTCCCATTTCGGGGGGGGGTTCTCTTCCAGGCTATCTTGGAGGGCCTGGGGGGTCTGGGGACGATGTTTTGGAGGGTTCTCCCACCACGGGGGAGGTCTGAAATGGCTCGTCTTAGAGGTTCCAGACCCCCCCCTTTTATTACGAAATCTGGAGTACCCTTGCATCCCTGCCTCCTCGGTCCATCCCTGGCCACTCCTGTTGCCCGCGCCCCGCTCGGAAAGCTTCACAGATGGGCACCCAGGGCCCGTGCATCCTTGCCGTGCATCCTTGTGGTACGGGTCGACTGCACTTCCGCATTTCTGCGGCCGCCCGGTCCGTCTTTTCCCCTTCTCTTGCACGCTGGCCAATCCGCTTCTCGGTGCCCCCGTTTAGCTCTATCGCTGGTGCAGTCCTTCTGCCGGCTGCTCTTGGCCCA